ATAAGTTGGTATTTTTAATCATCGCATTTAATAGTTGAAAAAAATGACATGCAATGTGTTTTATGTAATTTTGTGCTGTATAATAGGCCCGTACGGCTTTGCATAGGATTGACTGCATTTCCCACTATTCAGATCAATGGGCCATAGTCACTACGGACATGTACACCTTGACCTTGTTCAGACTATAACTGAATAAGCAATACCTACATGATTAGAAGTCACCCGGATAAAGCGGATATTCTTTCTTATCTTCTCTTAATTATGTCATTAAATTTTTATTCAAAAAAATAAATAAAATTATTCTCGAAACACGTACAGGAAGTTGATCGAAGGTATATATTTTATTTTTAACTAGTGCTTGTTGACCCCTTTAAGCACTGCCCCACAATCTCCAATCATGCCGTGTTTCAAGAGTAAATAAATTTATTATTTGCTATAGACTATCTTTGTTTACATTGTCATCCATTTTCTGATCAATAAACGACTTCCTCCATACACAAAAAACACTGTGTGCTGCATCATTGGACTGTATATATTATCCATAGTTTCCCCGCAAAACAAATCCAATTTACTCCTCGGGCAACTACAGACAACCCAAAACCTCTCACTAGACAGCCTTATATGTATTTTACGGCGTGAAATTCTTTATTTTATATACCTGCGTCTAATTTATTTTGTTATAATTATAAAATACAACCAGAAAGAAAAACGAAAATGAAATAATAATAATAAATAATAAATTTGATTGCAATACGAGGAAGTAAGGCAACGAGAGACTGTAATCTGGCTATATGACAGCGTAACAGTCCTACCTTGGATCGTTGAATGAACAGTTATTTTCGTATCGTATTCATATGCTTGTATCACGCCATCTATGACATTGAATGTCACGTTCTTTGTAAGTTTATAGATTATTTAACTTCAACACAGGCAGTGGCGGATCCAGGGGGGCAGGGGGGCCTTGGCCCCCCAAACGCATGATGATTCGTATCATCTGGATTACGCATAGCTTCTCTGCGATTTTCGCTCCGTATATTTTAAGCGAAGCTTGCCCCCCCCCCCCCAATCCTTTTTCCTGGATCCGCCACTGAACACAGGCTGTTTCTATATGCGACGGCTAGCTGTTGGGGAAGAGGTGATGTGTACCATACAAGACGGCATAGATGTGCTAAACATTGCTTGGTAAATTGCTATGTTTTTCTGAAGGTCATAGTTTAAATACATTTCAAGGTAAATAAATTTATGCATGAAATAATCATGGCACCATACTTACATCATTTATCAAGACGTTTATACGTTGTGTATAGTATAATGCCTTAAGCAGGATACGGCTTGCACGGGGTGATGTTGCCACTCAACTTCCTCATCATGTTATCGTTTGGTTCACATGTAAGCTGCGAACTAACGGATTATTTATTCCAAACTAATTCTTAATATATATTAATCCGGGGAGCTGATAATCGACACGATACATCACCTACATTGTTAACATAATTTTTTCAAAAAAGGTCCATCTTGACTCGTGTATTGTTCTATGCTGAGAAAGTAGTCTCTGACGCACGCATAGTGTGGTAATGTTACACAGTAATCAGATCTGTATAACCACCCCCTAAGCGTTCAACGCTACCTGACATTCGATAAATTAGCCCAAATAAAAATTGTGAAATTTCACATCAAGGCAGACATCGTATGATAAATACATACTGTCAATACCATACTATTGATAGCTTTTTCATTCATTCATTTGTTTCTGAAATTTCATATCAATTACATAAATATAACAAAATACTTTGGTGACTCACACTGTGTTACAATAATGTTACTTAATATAGAATCAATTTCGATTACAATAATCTTACTTCAACACCATTCTTTTTCAACATGAATTCTACACATTATTTTGCATGGTGGTCGATCACATTCAATTCAGCAGTAACAATCGTATGATATACTCTATTAAACCGAAGTATTTTTTGTATTGTCTCAGTCAAACTCAGATAGATGGGCCAAAGATTGACAAGACATCAGCGATTAATTTTATCTCTATTTAGCAATTACAGTATATACCATATAAACTCGACAGTGACCAACTTCAGCACAAACATTAATTAAATGAAGTAAATATAACCCGCATGATTTAGGAAAATTTATGTCTGAGGCAGGTATCACTGGAACTTGTTTCTGGAGCTGGTCATGCAATAACTATAACCCTGATCCCAACCAAAAACGCTTCTCGATCACATATAATTCGAAAAATTTTGAGCTATTGTCTGTAATTTATGTTCACGGGGAATGTCACAATAAATTTTTAATACAATGGCACTAACATGTATGAACGCACCTGTACTCTCAGATACAGTCTACTTAACCACTAAATAACACTGATTTTTAATTTTAGATTTAATGACACATACATTTATTTGCTGTAAAAAAATAAATGTCCGTATTCACGACCGGATTTTGAGCTCACGTGATATGAATCCAAATATGTTTATATAGAAAGATACATGGAGATTGGTATAATTCTATATTAATGAAAAGCATGACAGTATTTGATGACGATTATTATATTAATAGGATGTTTGGTGGTGGGCGACAGCTGTAACTATGTCATACGAAAATTCGAGTTCAAAACGCACCTCTAGAACTGCGAAAAAAACATTTAATAATGTTCACTCATGCTATTCATATAACAACTTGATTGTTTTGATAATTGATGTCATCGGCAGTAGACTACTGCATTTGTTTACATGTTTAGTATTCACAGTAACAGCTTGTCAGTTCCTATGTGGCGTCATACATCCTACTCTCTACAAACATAATAATGCGATTCAGTCTGATCCTAACATATATTAATTGGATTTAACATGCACGGATTCCCATTAGTGTAACACACCCGCACAACACAACACGCCCAAGGACATCGTTCTGAATGGCACATAATAATTATTATTCTACACCTGCCATCGTAACGCCATAAGTTACAGCGTGTCGTAATTTTGCTGTATTTTTCGGGATATATTTTCATCCTACCATATAAGAAATTGCGAACATGGAATGATTACGCGCGTAAGCATCCTCTAAGATTGAAAAACAAACATGGCTGCCATCAGAGTTTGACCGAATTCCACACGAAGAAGTTCGCTGATTTTGTTCTAATTTTTTTTTTGGATTTTGGCATTCCCATGATGTATCCTTGGAAGGAAAATATGTATAGCAATAAGGTTATTACGAGGATACCTCAAACTATGCACTCACACAGTACGCCGTCGCATACTGTGCTGTCTTCGTTCATACTTTGAGGTATCCTCGCAATGACCTCATATTATTCCTACTGCTATAAGCAAATAAAACTTAGAATACAATTTTACGTCCTTAACTTTGCTTCAAATCATTATTACGTATATATATTATTACCCTTCTCGTCACTAGCACTTTGACTGAAGTCTACATTAGTTTAGAATGGTGGATAGAAACAATATAGAGAGAACACTGAATTACTGCCATTCACTCTGATTGCTGCAATAAATAATACATCTCTATATCTTATAATCCCCTCTCCTTGAAATGACACGCACATCGTGTCAATGGGTTATGTAATAATTTATGTGAAAGTAGTGGTGACAATGTGCATTATTTAGGTACACGTGTCTTCCAAACGAGTAATTAACAGTACGTCATTAAAACGTTTCTATGACAAATATTATGAAATGGTGACAAAATGCAAAAAATCAACGAAGTAGAGGATCTCTGAATATTTTGTCGTTCGTCCTGTGTAGGAAGTCTGCAGGACAGGATATATCACTATTATCTGATATCACATTTTTAACCACGCAGGTCCATATATCATTCTTGTGCTCATTAATCGTCGTGGAGGCTCCGAGACAGATTGACGTGTAGCACATTAATTTCTCTACTACCATACACATTGACTTATGTACGTGCGGAAACGTACTTTGTCCAGATATATTGTTATTGTTATATGTTATTATTATCTGTTCAAGAAACATTGAGTTTAGATTAATAGGTGGATATGTCAGTGTCAGCTTGTAGCTCGGTCACGCAAGTTGACCATTTTCAAAGTTTAAAAACATATCGACGATACTATTTGTGATGGAAGTAACAACTTACTTACTCACGAACAGATCCACACACGCACTGAACATCGAACGATATAAATAGAAAAAGTCAACGATATCAACGACCATATAATACAGCAAAGGCTACAAATAAGAAAAGTATGACCATTGACACAATGCACAAACGATCTCGAATCACCAACCGGGGAATTTATATGTGATCGACGTAGTGGACTTCTTGTTTTACTTTTACTGAAATAATTAATTTACATCAAAACTTTCGCTCTCACAATATTGCTCCAAATCACTTGACAATTGTTAATATACAAGTTCAGCCAAGTAGCCAATCACGATAGGTTTAGCATACTATGAATATTCACAACAGCGAGTCGAAAAACACAATCTTATATATATATATTGATATTGGATATATATTTAAAACATATCACTGTTATACAAGCAAACCAGGACTATTAATATGTCATCTGTTATTATCATAGATTATCTTGAACAATCCCAACTGGCCATTACCAGGTTATACAAATACTGCTTGTACATCCGTAATCATCATTTTACCTTGCGCACAGGTCCAATATCAACATATTTAATTTCATCTAACAATTTGTTTCGGAGATTTTTGGAGTTTCGAGCTCTAAAAAAGACATATATATATATATACCTGTCCATCATTTACGATTAAAAATAATAATGGTCACATATGCTACCTTCCAATTCAATTCGCTTACCAACACTGTAGTTGCCTTTGAGTTAATGCCTAATTGATTGGATGCAATTATATATCATTAGGTTAATTGTATTTTGTAGATAATGTAAGATTATGTTATGAGTTGAGGTTAGAATTGTTATTTTATTATTCTGTTTATGTCAATCAACCCAAAAAAATGTATTTAAGAAAACAACCCCAGGATCGTAGCTTTTATTTTTCAATCTATTTACATAATATACAATTTGCCTTATCTTAAAACTTCACTTTATCAATAGCCATTAGCTTTCACCCTCGATTGGCGTAACTATACTACAATATCCATCACCATATACTTCATTCGTCTTTAGATAAAAGTTCAGCAACTATGGATAAAAAGACAAAAAACAAATCCTGTGAACATATATAAATATTTATAACAATAGCTGACTCAATTTCCATTTTGACCTTACATAGAATAAAGATTACATAGTCATTTTAGTAATGATTTGATATCATTTTTTTGCGTTCAACAAATTTTCCATTTTAGTAGCATTTTGAGATTTTAATTTGACTAAACTCACCGGTCATCCATGCCGCGACGCCGAAATTTTCTTGCCATATCGTCAATAGTCGAATAGCCTTGGAGTTCGTCGTCTTCTGTTCCGATTCCGTTACGATTGCCACACATTCCACATATGGGAGTTTTATCGGGAAGTAATAATATTATTTCAACCATATGTATCTTGCAATCAAAAATCACTCTATACTGATCGAATACCTCAATGGTAAAGATGTTACCATCTTTCTGCACGCTTCCCTTCCCGGGCCAAACGTGGGGGAACTTTGTCCACTGTTCTCTATTTAGCTGTATGAAGAATACATTCAATGAGACAAACAACATTAAGTACAGTACAAAGTTCATTCGAATAAGTCGAAAAAAAAACTTTAGATACAGAGAGAGGTGACGCCATTTAGCATACAATAATAGCTCATAATAGACACAATGAAATGCAATTATTGGTGATATGTTAAATGTACACACTAACCCAGTATGAGCAGTCATCGGGTATAATTTCAGTAAACCGACGAGTACCACGTCGATTTAATTTCAAGGCCGTTACCCGTGTGTGACCGTGCTGGTGTGGGCGTGCATTTGCAGTGGTCACTGTCACTAGGTGTGAAACTTTTTTCTTGCTACACCAACCAAGAAGAATGTACGTACAATTTCCCATGTAGCTGTAGTGGTACCCATCGAATGTCTCGTAGTGAGGGTCCCCTTTCACAATGCAATCTTGAAATCAAACACAGTTAGGATTTTATAATAGTACCACCATTTATTTACACTCCTAGCTATGATGGTATAGTAACACTGTCAAGTCAGGGAAAGCAATCGCATCCAACTGACAAAGCAATAATCTGATTCAATACAACTTGCTTGCAATTATGTTCATGTGCTGCCCCGTTGATCTTTCTAACAAGATCGTTAACTCTCCCACCTCCCATTCTTTTAAATCCTCATATGCAGTTCTACAGGTTTATTCCTAGAACCCTCTTTTTTAGGTCATTTTATGTATTCGAGTCGAAATAAGTGACTGTATGCGATGTTTAGACCAGTTATTCAATCATAACATGTTTGGTTCAATATTGATTTACTCATACCATTTGCAAAGTTCAACACATTTTCTTGTATTGTTGTATTGCTTATGAATAACTACTCTAAAGCTTTCATATATTAATTTCATCACATGGCAGATCTTGCCTGAATGTGGTTGTTGTTGTCTAGGAAAATGAGCTTAAACTGCATAAAACACTTACGTGGTCCTTCTTGACGCATCATTACTGACTTGATTGCCAATATTCACATGTACACACATATATGCAGCACCAGAATAGAAAGCAAAACATATGTATGAATGAAAAATATGAATGTTTAAATTATTCTGCGAGTAGCACTCTCAATCTAACATTGATGCACCAGAGATCACTTAGTGATTGAGGAACAGTATATTATATACTGCAAAAGAACTTTTGGGGATTCAATAGTACATCAATTTAAAATCTGGCTCCCTTGGAAATGCATAATGTGCATGCTTTCATTTTGGAAGAGCGCCATATAATGGATAGCATGTATTTACTTAACTTTTTTATATGGTCCTGTGTGAATATGTTTATTGCAAGGCCTCTGGCTCATATATACAATATAAAATAAATTATATAAAACAAGAATCAACTAAATTACAAGATAATGTGTCAGTTAAATGTTGTCAGATTTTGAATGGATAACTTGACCTGAAAAACTTTGTATACAAATAATCAACTGTGGCTAAATCTGATGTTTACAATAATTCAATGACGTTTTGAGAGTTCAGCTTCTGTCAAATATACCACATTTTACAATAATGATTCAGATATATTCATATACCGCTGTAGTTGTATAATAAATAAATAAATAAATAGCAAGTCTAAACAAATTGGAATTAGCATGCAGCTCCGCCCACATCTTGAGGACAGTCAAAATAACATAACCCAATTAAAGCTAGACATAAAAATGTGCATACAAACACGTAAACAAGTAGTAAGAAGAGCGGCATACTTCCTATCTACAATGCATATCACTATAATTGTTTCAATTAATTAAATCAACTATGTGTATGAAGAAATACTTAACAATATTATTAGCTGTATATATAACTAACCATACAGAATTTCCTCTAACTACAACACGATATGCATAGACTTCTAATTGATAATGCACGACATTTTGTGCGGACAGTATTCGTTTATGCCACCTTTGTGCTAATATCGACGCCCAGCCAGTTTATAACATAACAAATACGCAGCGTAGAGAATATGAATCTATAATGATATTATTGAGTTTCGACATGAATCCACCATCTTCAAGGATTTACAGATAGTCACCAAACTTACAATGCTTACTTGAAACTAGTGTATGTTACAACGCTACATTCATGTACTCAAGGTAAAAAGACATACCCATATATGTATTATAATACCATGCGTCTATCTATCATATATGGACAGTATTTGAGGGTCAATTTTCAATTTTCGTTCACATTTGTATGAATTGCTAGAACAGAAAATGCATTATGGCCCTAGTCATTTTCAGTTCGAAAAAAAGTTTGTTTAACTCACGGGCCCGACTGCGTCTCGTTCACTATTGTGTTTGCCGTGTAATATTACAAACCACTGAATATAAATTGATTAATTTATGTGAATTAGCATGATACATATGTAATAGGTTTGTACCCACTACCTGCCAATGTAATATGGTGCGTGGACCACATAACTTATAAGGAACCTGTCGATAGTGAAACTTTCCCAATTACGCTATTTGACGAGCTTCATCAATCCACTATATTATAACATTGGCCTGTAATAGATTACATAATGATAATGCTGTGGTTGGCATTTCTCATGCGGTAATCCTAAACGATGTAATCAGTTCTAATGCCAAATAAATGAACTTTTTCAGCACGGTCTACTTGTTCGGAATATAATATGGAGTCTCCATACGAACATAAAAAAATTGCAAAATGACGAACAATCCGCCAAAAATACTAAGTTTGATTCACAAATTAATAAACATCAACTTCAACGGTTGGTTCCAAAGTAATATATGTTCGTGTGTGTCTTTAAGTACATAAATCTGTTGTTATTAAAATCGAAATACTGTAGTCGTCTAATTATAACTACTATTGATTCAATTATTATATAAAGTTACTCACTTTTTATATACATTTAAAGTACACATCAGACACTATTTTAGATTGCCCACCCCCAAAAAACTGTACAACGTGTCAAATATGGGTTTGATACAATAGGTTGAACCTTCTTTGTCTTGACCATATATGCATGTATGTAGTTCACTGTCTACTGTGCGGTTCAGTCGTGAATATAAATAGGGTTACTACAAGCAACGATTACCTTGTATAATTAAAATAAATGACCTGACGTTGTTAATATATGTATACATGGTCGTGATAATTACATAAAGGTGTACAAGTGATTGTTGTATATAGGAAATGTGGAAAAGAAATAATACATACATGAACCGACGCTCCGTGTACAGCAGTGATACATAGCACCACCACTGCCACTATAGTCGCAAGGGGCATCTTCTGAACGTATTAAGTAAACGATTGGTTTTACTTCTAATAGCAAAAACGCTGTGCAAAAGATGCGGTGTTTAGTTACCACGACACACGACAGCTGTTAATAGGCTTGCGTGAAACAAATCAAATTAAAGTGGATATAACAACACACACGACAGCTTGCAAATTATGCAAATTTCACTTACATATGGCTGACTTTATTGTTTCAGATTACACAGTCCCATGACGAAATTTGAAATCAAGAATTTAACTTTCATAAACATGAACATGAGCTTATCAATAATTCGCAGGACGCCCTATTTGTAGGTTATTCAGCCGAGCGTATATAGAGTTAGTAGAATTGTCATTATTGAATATTTAAATATATTTACATATACAATATGTAAATCAACATCATGAGCTAAATGTTGTCGTGTATGTACTTATTTATAATTTCTGATATTTATAATTGGTATGAAATACATTTTTGATAGCTATGCCAATTTATGGTGCACCAGTAAGATGTAGATTACACAATCGTTATATGAGTTGCCAAAAGATACGACTAGATTAGATCATTTGCAATTATACCCATCACCATTCTGATCCGAATAAATACTACAGGAAGTAGCATGCGAAGTCTTCGGGTTTTTTTTCTCTCGAGCTCAGCAACTGCAGGTAAAACAAACGAAAAATCCACAAAAAACGTAAAATAATTCTTATAAATTACTTACTAATAATACTTATATAGTATATATATATAATTATAGTATCTTTTGATAAACCAGAATGTTTGATCACAATGCGATGTTGTACTATACGTATTGTCAATAGTCATTAGGAAACAGTTTAAATTATAATTATAATTAATCTAAATTTGATTACACTTACTTGGCATGTCATAGTTTATTTACAATCAGCATGACGATCATTGTGTTCGAATGCTTCTGCCATCTCGTTAATCGTCGAATAGCCCTGCAGTTCGTCGTCTTCTGTTCCGATTCCATTACGGTTGCCACACATTCCACATATATGTTTTGTATCCGGATGTAATAATATTATTTCAACCATATGTATCTTGCAATCGAAAATCACTCTATACTGATCGAATGTCTCAAACGTAAAAATGTTACCATCTTTCTGCACGCTTCCCATCCCGGGCCAAACGTGAGGAAACTTTGTCCAATCATCTCCATTAAACTGTGAAAATAAAACAGACTAGTCAGTGAAATATAGAAGATATTCTAATAAAATTTAGAATAAGTTATATTTTGTTCGTACTTTCTAGGATGTACTTCTATGTTCTCGTGGGACAGAAAATACACATTCTAAATTCTTCTTTATGTAGTTTTCTAATTCTAGATCTGATTCAATTTTTGGCATAATACCTAAACATTTTGTGTCACTTGTATAGTGTTAATATAGGACAACAATTTTACAGAATGTGAAATTTAACTTAGTGTCTTGCATGATATTCATCCACTATAAATTGTTCCCAAAAGTTTTTCATACAGAAAAGTTCCATATTTAAAGATATATGTTTAGGTATTATGTCTGTGTTAAGGATGTAGTAGAGGTTATTGCTTTTGCAATTACATAACACATTTCTGAAGTAACATATTCGTTGACTCCCATTAAATTTTATATTTTTAGAAAGCTTATTTTTTCAAATAATATGAAATAAACACAAAAATGGAACCCTGTAATCACGTGGTCACTGTGCAAATAGAGAGATGTTATTTTCGAAGAAACCGAAATAAGGCCACAGAAATAAAGTTCACGGTACTTAGAGATACTATACAAGGTTTGAATTAAATTTCGCACTTAGTATAATATTGCGTGACCTAGATTGTGACCTCATAACACTTTTTAAAAGCATCTTCAACGTTGTTTTGAAATTTCTGTTGAATATGCATTAAGGTATATATGACGTCATTATATCACACTCAAGATTGACATTGTCACTCACCCTAAATGAGCAGTCATCAGGAATGAACTCAGTAAATTGCTCAGGAGAACGAAGTCGATTTAATCTCAAGCTCACAACCCTTGTGTGTCCATTATTATTGGGGTGTTCATTTTTAGTACTGACTGTGACGAGTTTCTGCTGAACTTTACCATTTCTTTTGTTGCACCAAGCAAGAAGCATATATGTACAGTTGCCCATGAATGTGTACTTGTAACCATCAAATGTCTCGTAGTGAGGGTCACCTTTCACGATGCAGTCTTGATGAAAAAAAGATAGATGTGCATATTAAGGTAAACAAGAGAAGTGCATTCTAATGACGAAAGATAAACGCATTTTATCGAGCCCTGATAACAACGGTAGAAGTACTCAATATAGCTGAAAAATACACCAGTGAAAGAACCAGTGGCCGTTTGATGACGTTTTCTGTCGATCTACTCGATTAAAGGTACTTTATTTCACTCGGAATCTTTAATGAGCTCTCATCTTTTATCTTTTAAATCGAAGTATCGTTTATTTCGTTTTTTTCTCGATTTATCTGCTTGCGAGATGCAAAACAAATTAAAAATAAAATGAAACAAACTAAAAAAAATAGAATGATTTTTAAAACGTATGGCATATCACTTACGTGGTCCATCCTCTCGCTTCACAACTGACTTGAATATAAATATTTATACATATATGCAGCATAAGAACAGAGAGTAGGTACAAAACAAAAAAAATAAATTGTTGATTGACAGATTCACCACGAGAGTCACATTTAAATTGTTCACAATGATAAGTATTAAACAATCCACTAGATACCTAACTAGAGTTAACCACGTAACGCCAAAATTACCCTTCATTAATTGTATCGTCTTTTAAGAATTGGTAGACAGTAGACTAAGTTGTCAATATAGTTTGACACAGTAGCTGCAATACAGGCTATTGACTTCAACGACAATCACTCAGACTTGGGAATTACAACGCCACAGTTGCACATTACAGTTGTAGATGTATTCATTCGATTCACTGTATGCGACCTACACTGTCACCTATCAATTTAAATCGACTACACAAAATAGAAACACTGACCAACTCATCTATGTTGGCTACGCCAGTACGTTATATCCCATACAAAAGCGTTAACATCATACAGAATCACTATATATCTCAATGATTTAAAACTATATTATTTTGAATATTCTACAAGCAGTGCATATAATACCACTGTAAACAATGGGTCAGATTATTTGCTGACATGGTAACTACATGCAATACGTGGCATAATATATTATGTACCATAACTTTAACCCTTTCTAGCTTGTCCATGACTGTGTGCCCGAGGCTCGCCGTTCCCAACGATGTACGGTAGTAAATATATAACAAGATAATCAAGTTATGTGACAAGGAGAACACGAATGAGGGGACTGCTTTTACATATGCGTCATGTTATTGAATTAAAAGGGACAAGTATCATTTTGTATAAAGAGTCGTAAAAATAATACATACATGAACCGATGCTCCTTTAACAGTGGTGCTACACAGCATCATCACCACTACAATGATCGTTAGATACATCTTATAGTCGGACAAATTGAACAAGAAAGTGATAAACCTGTTATATCACACGGGAACAAAAACTACGCGCCTTTTACTTGTTACAACCAATATCAGCTGTGAATAAGCGAACGTGTTTTAAATGATAACTATAGTATGTTTATGGGATAATGTCAGCTTGGACCAGTATGCTCACTTTGCAATTGTTTTAGATTACACAGAAATAACCGGAAATTGGATTGCCAAGTATCGGCGGTTTTGAATGAATTATATTATATCACATTATATTATGCCATTCTGTTGAAATCTGCTCGTAAACTGCATCTAGACCCAGAACGAGCATACCAAAATATGGATATGCTTTTTTTTTATCACGGCTGAGTCAACTAAAGTTATCTTTTGTCAATAATATCGAATGTCCCTCAATGGCAAGCCGATGACCCACTTTGTCATGAAGCGTAAATGTCCTATATAAAGGTTGATACGACAAGATAAACCATTGGAATTTAAAAGCAAAAACAAAAAGCAAGAG